TGAATCCTCTCTGACCTCAGACCACAGCCCCCAGAGGGGCACACACACTGGGCCCGATCCTTGCACGTCCATAGAGGAGAAGGGTCTCGTAAATTACAAGAGAAGAGCTCCGGAATTAATCTCAACCACAAATTGAGGGGCATGCCATTTTGATTAAACTTTTACCAGAACACAGAGTTTATGACACTTTCTCTGAAAAGGGAAACTCTCCTGATGGTACACAATTCAAAGCTTAAACTGTGTGCAAGACAGCTTGAAAATACAGCACCTTCACAGCTCCAGGGCATTGCTGTTATCTTTTAAAACGGGAAAACAAATGAGCATAAAAATCACTGCATGTTTCACACATACGTATCTGGAGTCCAGTGGGTTAATAAAATTAAACAGCTAACACTAATAGAGATTTGACTATTTCCACACTAGCACTTCACATTTGTGCAATGCAGGAGTGTTTGATGTAAAGATAAATGGACTGAGCACACCTTCTACTAGGCCAAAGTAAAGGCAATTCCTCAAATTCACAGGCTACGTGCCATAGAACTGTAACACCAGGTTAAAAGAGAGTCTCTAATAGACTGGAAAAAGTCTTCTGTTTTGTGAAACTGCACGACACACAGATCAGTTGCCTGAAAGCTGCTCCTACCTGTGTCTGACTTTCTATACTTCTTGAATGTCTCTCACACAGAAGGTGCTCAAATTTATGCTGACTGAGGATTTTCTAGCGTGGGTATATGACCCTTCAGGAACTGGCTATCTTTTTCTAAAACTCTTTTGGAGTCACATAGCAGGGAATAATTCAATACTACTTCTGGTTTGTCCTTGTATTCAGTAAAGCTGCTGTGTGGGCTTGGAGATTGCATTAATATGTTTTTATCTGCAGCGGGATAGCTTTCTCCAAACTACTTAATATTTCACAATCCCCTTTCTGAAGCAAACCACACAACAGAACATCTGATCAGCAATATTCTGAATACCAGTCTGAGAAAAGACAGCAGGACTCTATGACCTTCCAGGAACTAATTTATTAAATCAATATTTCACTCAGATGTTAACAACAGACAGATAACTGTGAGCAAAGAAAGTTTTATATAAAAGTTCTTGTAGGTGCCCAGAATACTTATGATTAAGAGATCACCAGGGCCTGATGATATTGTGCAATTGTACTTAAGGACACGGGAGATGTTACATACTGACTGTTAACAAAATACTTCCCAGTGACTGGGCATTGAGTATTGGAGGACCCATCCATAAAAAAAGTTAACAAAACCGAACCAAGTGTTTACAGTCCTATAAATTCTAACTTACATCTATTATGAAAAGTCTGGAAAGGATCATTAGAATTAAAATTGAGATTCATATGTACACTAGAAGGACATTGGAAGGTGGCATCTATTTAGAAAAGCTAGGTCACTCTTGCCTTACAGCAGTAATGCATACAAATCATACAATATAGTATATTAAAATTTTCAGTAGGAGACAACGTTTCTTAAAAAAATGCTCAGATTACAGGTGGTAGGGATTCAAGAAAATGCATGCAAGTAGAATAAGACCTGGGCAATGTATGATGTAATTAGTGGAGTACCACAGGGGTCTGTACCAGGACCACAGCTCTTCCTCATACGTGTCAATGATCTTGATTCTAGCATAGCTGGCAAACCAGTCATGTTTGCAGAATATTTAGAATATCAACAATACAGAACTAGGGTGGATTACAAAATGCTGTAGAAATCTCAAAAAGTGAATAAAAAAGAATTCAGGAATGAGCAAATGTGGTGATAAAATTTAACATAACACTCTTTGTTAGTTTAGTTGTATGTAGTATAAACGATTATAGTAAACTTCTTGAGAAAGCTATATAAGACAATGTGAGGATGTAATTCAAAAAGCAAACAAAATGTTAGGACACAAACTTAAAACTGTAGAACGTAAAACAAGTGATGTTAATATCACCCAATAGAGCAATCAGATACATCCCATGGCTTAAGAGAATGGCCCACACTGACAGGCTGAAGGAGCTGAGTCTCTTTAGTCTGAAAGGGGTGTCCCACACTGACAGGCTGAAGGAACTGAGTCTCTTTAGTCTGAAAGGGGTGTCCCACACTGACAGGCT